GTGATGAGGGATGCTATTTGAAGGCTGGTTGGCCTTTAATCACCACAGACAAATACATGGAATCAATGGGGGTATGGGAGTGAAAGAAGAGTTTTAAAGTAATATTGTCAGCAGTCTGCTTTTCTCTGGATTGCTGGGAAAGAGAAAAAACATTTCCTATGTAATTCCCACTTTAAAAAGATCTTTATATGAATTTGATTTCCTCTTAGGATATTCAGGGTGTTCAGATAACCTAATATATTTCTAAAGAGGCCTGCTTCAGTGTCTCTTTTTTCATCTTTTATAATTATTATTCTGCCTCTTACTTGTACAGAGAAAGGATTATGCCGTTTTATAAAAGGATTTTCAGGCTTACTCCACATACAAATATTAAAGTGTACCTCTGTCCCAATATATCTAAAGCTTCATACCCATTTAAACATCTATTGAGTCTTTAAATCTTTTTTTATTGCCATATATAAAATGGTAAATGTATATATTCTCATATAAATGAAGACCCTTCTATACAGTCAGCAGCAGTTTTCTTTTGGCTGTAGGTGTTTCAGTATTTCATCTCCCACATATGTGGACTATAGAAACACGTGACATAATAATATGACTATTTTCTTAATATTTAAAACCCCTTTATATAGTGTTAATTTTATATAATTATTTTCATACCTATTAATTATGCTTAACAGAACTGTGCAAGGCAGACTGAAGCACTCCTTGAATCACTCAAGAACTATCATCTGAAGATTCTGCAGCAAATTTACCCCTGGAATTTGGTGAAACCATACTGGCCAGATGTATAGGTCATTTTCCTTGCTTTCTTTCTTTATCTTCTTTATTTACCTCTCATCTGCTGAAGGCCTTAGAAGCTTCTTTTTCCCTTTGGTTAAGGACATAAGCTGAAGTATCAATGATTTTTCTACCTGTGTAAATTATATGATGTGATATGGGTTTTTTTTTCAAGTAATGTGCTGGTCTAGCAAAGTAAAGAACATGTTCAGATCTTTGCAGGATCAATGCAATACTTCTTTGATGCATCCTCCTTCACTTAAATGATGACTGTAAATTTCTTAAAATACTAACTGAAGGATATGGTTTCCTGAAGCTACAGCATAGTAATAAGAAATTAATTCATTTATCTTCAAAAAAGCTTAAGCTGCAACCTGCATATCGTTATAGTAAAAATACCTAAAAACTGTTCTTGGGTTTGACAAAAAAAAAAAAAGGAGTTTTGATGAAAATGAAGAAAACTATGGAGAAAATATTGGCAAGTTAGAAAAAAAAAAAAGTTGACATTTTTCAACCAAAATAATAATCGTAACATATTTAACCCAAATTTTACTAGCTTCCATCTGGAATCTGAAGAATTCTGTTTTGAAATGCCATCCCAGAGCATCTTAGAAATTGGTCTTTGTAGTTCTTGCTGCTATGCTCGCATAACAGGCCGGTGTTCCTGGACAGACTATGTGTCCATGGGTGCCCCATGCGGTTTCTGGGAAATTGCAATAGATTTTGGGAAGTCACAAGTGTGTAAGGAAGTTTGTCCACATAGCAGGTTTGCCCAGTAACCCCAGAGCAGCAGGTAAAACTCATTTCAGCTTTAACTTCCAGTAAGATGTTACAGCAACACTTTAGATGAAAACATTTTCCTTTCAGTCAAAGTTGAAGCCACTAACTTTGGGTAGGCCAAGAGCCAGAAACCTTTCAGTTTTCAAAGGCTTTGTTTGTTGACTAGACTTGAAACTTTTCACAGAAGCTTTCTTTTCGATTTAGAATAAAAATAGATAGAATCCGTTCACCTCACCAAAAGTACCACCTGTGTATTTGATGATATCTGGGGAACAAATTGTATAGCCCTGTTGTATACTACGTTTATCCCAACCTTCTGACCCCTGATTATATTCTTTCCACTTTGCTCTTGTGCTTCGCCCTTTGTTTCATCCACATCAAGAATTTTTCTAAGCTTTTTGAGAGCTTCTTTGAGCAGTAACCATAGAAAAGTCACCCTGCCAAGAAAGTATCCTTTTCCACAAGTGGATTCCATTTCTTCTATTCCTTTGAAGACCAACACCACCAATAGCAATAGAAATAATAGATGCATCAAAAGTTATGCTGTTGTGAGCTTCAGGTGAGAAAACTTCAGTGAGTACTAGTAACAAATATAACACTCTGTGTATAGTTCTCTGAAATTTTGTGAGTCAAAATTGTATCATTTAATATACACGTAGAAGTGGTACTGTCACCACATATTATGAGATATGACTACAGTCCCTGCAGTGTTTCAGATCCTTTATTCCCTGTCATGTGTACAGCTAATATCAGATGACAATGCTGAAATCCACCAATTCTTTGCTAATGCCCTGCTCAAAACTAGGGCCAGGGTGTGACATCATACTTTCTACCTCCCTCTTGTGCCTCTTGACTGCTTTCTCTATCTTGCTTCCTCTCAGACGCAAATACATATGTCTTTATTTGCCTCTCATGGATATTTCTACATATTTACAGTGATATACAGTCTTTTTTAAGGGTAGAATTCAGAACATGACCTTTAGTCATGTGAGATCATTTTCTGTATCTCCAAGAAAGGTATTTATAAGGGTCTTGGTTGAGGAATGAAAGACTAAAGCAGTTCAGTAGAAATTATCTTCTTAATGGTGAAATCTGAATTATTCATTAAGGTACCATTTATTCAATTACTTTTATTATTCTGTTTAAGAAGGCAGAGACTTTTATGTGTTTCATGTGCTTACAAAGGTTTATTAGCTTGAGTAAAAGGTTATTATTATTCAATTGAATAATTGAATTTTAAACTATTGGTATTGCACTTCATATTATATCTGCTTCTCCAGATGCACTTGATTATGTCAAATTTGCTTTTTAATCCCCTGTCTGGAGACCATTTTCTTGAATCATGCACATTTTCTCACCCTCTGTAGCGGTATCCTAATGAACACACAGTCCAGCCTGACATCTTCCATGTAAATGACTGTGCATACCTCTTCTAGTCAGATCATATCAGCAGCTATCTGGTGTCATATAATCCTGGATACTGTTATATGGAAAATCTTATCAGGTGATTAATGCCACAGGCGTCTAATTTTCCTGCAAAGCACTATTGCAGGACTGCAGTGTTTACATGAATGCCAGGCTTAGGGATATGAACTGGACATTTATAAAAGTTAATAATCTGTGTCTAATCCCCTCCAAGAATTGTCTGTTGGTATTTCTATAAATAATTGCAGCTTTATTTCTTGTCACAAACTGAATCACATCTTAATTTATTAGGTGCATTCTTCATTTAAAAACTTGGAACTTTGTTATAAATCTCATTGCATGGGTGACATATGTCCGCAAAGCCACACATAATATATCTTTGCATTTGAAACATACATTAAGTAAAAAGAGTCACAAAAATCCTGCTTTGATGTTTGTTTACTTGTCTTGTTTGTTTGTTTGCATTTAAGCAGATGTGCTCTTCAAAAAGTTTTCTTGTTTGCTAGAAGCGTAAGATTCGTCCTTGACTGCACACTTGGAAACTGGGATTCCTGGGCATAACACTGAAATTCTCGATTAAGATAAGAAATGATACACAAAATAATTCAATATAATAAAATATCAGGGTAAACAGCCCCAGAAAGAAATATACTCTGAGCACTGATTCTTCATTGCTATGTTCAATACTGCACTTAAAATATTAGCATGGGCAAAGGTGCTGTATCTGTGTCTGCTTGCATCTACCTATGAATTACATAATTGTTGGCTGTTACCAGGCTTCTTCTACCTCTGCTGAAGAGATTTTCCCTCAGCCAGGGGTTGTCCATTAAGTTCACTAGAAGCAGGCTCAGCCTTCCACAGCATTCCATAATTTCAAGCAAATTATGTTTTAGAAAGTAATCATTGATTCCTGAGATTTGACATAGGATAGGGAGCACTTTAAAAGTGGCTTTGAATACTCTTAATTAGCCCAAGAATTACAGGCTCATTCCTCTTTTATGCTGCCATTGCAAGCATTTATCTCAACTGATTTCAACAGAGTTGCTTCTGTTTTACACTGGTGTGAGAAAACAAAAAAACCCAGGTTGCATAAATTGTTAACAGCTCTTTCATATTGCCTCTTTATTACCAGATAAAACTTTGATGAAGGACACTCACAGAAGATCAATATAAGAAACCACATAAGACCTGAATTTTATGCTACTGGCTAATACTGAAAATCACAGAAATAAGTATTTAGTTTTGAAGCGCTTAAGCCAATGACTGGTGTGAGACTGCTTTTCCTGAAAGAAATATTTCACCTCTAGACAAGTACTGCCTCCTGAGTAAAGTTACTCCATGGCTCTGATTGCAGGGATGCAGGAAAGGAAATGGAGTGCACTTGCTCATCTAGTAATGAGCAACTTCATCTGACAACTTCCATTTGAAGGAGTAAGGACCCATGTTCGTTTCTCTGCTTCATGGGCGTGCTGCTCCTGGCTGATGTGATGAACCACTGCCAGCATCCTAGAAGGCTCCTTGGGAAAGGCTGAATGTCTCATGAAGGGAACTAGGGACTTTGGGGAAGTTTGGGGTCTTCCAAAAACCTAGGAAATCACCTCCTCAGCAGCGATCTTCACCTGTAATTTATAGAGTCTAGCACAGAGCTGGGGGGTAAACAACAAATGGTATTGAACTGGCCAGTAATACACTGTCTGCAAGCTAATATAGCTCAGGATATATTCACTACTGAAAGTAAATTGAACATTCTCCTTGAGAGTCACTTAGATAGCAGTGTTTGTTTATATAGCGGTTTATCTTCGCATAAAGAAGTGAGCAGGAGTTAAAGTGCAACAGCAATCACATATAGTAAATCCAATTTATATTAATATACCTCTAACCTAATAACTGGCAAATACACATTTCTGCACTTCTAGCAGTCTGACTTAATTTGTTTCTGTCAAACAAAGAGCAAATATTTTATCACAAGTTTGTTGTTTTCCATTTAAAAAAAAAACAAAACAACCCAAAAAAGCCCAAGCACACCAGAACTAAAGGTTGCAGAGGTGGCTACTTCTAGAAAGTTTATTCTTCACACAGTTAATCAAGACCACCATACTTTACTTGCTTTCCTTCAACCTTTACTAAAGCCATCCACAGTCTTCAATGTCCGGGCGTTATGAAGTGGAAATGCCAGTGCAGGGAAGTGCTCCGATACAAGTAAGTCTTGATGACAGGCTTAATCCCAAGTTTGGCAGAAACTCAGCTGTGCTCCTTTTTATTCCTGAGATAGGTGTAGAGGGCATCCAGCCCCCCCTCTATGATCTCAGGCAGAGGACGGGACAAAGGGTTGTGGGTGATGTGGAGACCTTTGTCCATTGGGTTCCATGCAATGCGTGGCAGCTGGTGCAGCAGGTAGAGGTCATCTGGGACAGTCTGTATAGCATTGTAATCAACATTTAGTAATTCCAGAGTGGTGATGAAGCAGAGAGACCGTGGCAGAATGCGTATGTTGTTATTCTCTATGATAAAGATTTGCAGATTGACCAGATACTGGACACTGTCTGCAATGTTTTCAAGCCTGTTGGACCCTAGGTGCAAAAAGTCTAAATTCCTCAGTGCAAAAACACAGAGGGGAATTTGCACAAACCTGTTGTTACTGAGGTTCAGTTTCCTCAGATTTGTCAGGTCGCTGAAGCTCAAAGGCAGTTGAGAGATGCAGTTGTGTGAGAGGCTCAAAACCTCCAGCTTCCTGCACAAGCTGAGCTCTGCTGGCACTTCTGTCAGGCAATTCATATTGATAAACAAGACCTTGAGGTTCCTCAGCAGCCCAATCTCTTTAGGCAGATACTTGAGACAGTTGTCACCCAAGTTCAGCACTACTATCCTGTCCAGTTTCCCCAGTGAAGGAGGAATCACCACCAGCTGGTTGTGTGAAAGGTTCAGTTTCTGCACCTCAGGCAGTCCCCACAAGAAGTCAGGTGTGTTGGTCATCCCTTTCATTATAAGGCTCAAGCTGACATAACGCAATCCCTGTTTCAGCAGTGACTTAGGCTCTTTCCCTGAGAGAAGAGCATCTTCCCATGCAGGCAACTTTGGACCTCTCCTCAGAAAACACATGCTCCTTCGCCCCTCGTTCTTTGAGTGCTCAGTTCCCATAACACCCTGGATCCCTCCTGAGAGATGAAGTGAGGTTTTCTTCCCTTGCAAGTGCTTACACCAACATGCAAATGCCAACAGAGGATGACAGCTTGCAGGAGGCAGGAAAGTCAAAGCAAGGAGACAAGGAGGAGCCTGTGAAGTGCATCTCAGTCCACCGGGGCAGTTTCCATAGCTGCTGAGGGAAAGTTTCACTTCTGGGGGCTTATGCTGGTCTTGGTGCACAGGCTGTAATGAAATACTTGCTCCTGACTTGTGAGTAAACCTGTTCAATTCAAACTGAATGCCATGAGGCAGCTGTCACTGTCATTTGGCCTGGGCTTTATTGGACAGATATGTATCTTCACTGGAAAAAGGTCACAAGGATGCTGTATATAACTTCACCATGTCAGCTTTCTTGGCTATCTGGTTCATACCATGGCTACAGGACAATTAACAAGAGTGACTTCAAAAAACAAGCAAGCAAGCTATAGAAGAAAACAAGCAAACAAAGAAGCCATCATTTCAATTCAGATTTAAAGGATATTTTCCCAATTATTTTTATGTTCCTGATTTCACTGAAGTAGTTACCAGTCCACCAGAAAACTGCACATTGTAAAAATGATGGTAAAGACTTTTTCTTGTGAGTCCTTATTTTTTGTTTCCTTAAAAATAAAAGGGGGGAAGAAAAAGTTAATGCTCATAAAAAGTGTTAACTTTTATATCCCCTTTGAGATTAGGATAGGCCTCTTTCTTTTCTGAAAGGGTACCACCCTCACTGCAGCAATGACATTTTCCAGTGGTATCTGAGCCCACTTGGATGACTGCTTGCTACCCACGTTGCCAAGTGTGAGAAGTCATACCACACAGTTCTGCCCAAATTACTCTGTCCTAAATATCCTGCGCTGCTTTCACATCTATTAGTGAGAATTTGGGGGTCTGCAATCTTTTGTGCCACTTATGTTCCTTTCCCCGTAAACTTTCCTCTCTTTCTGGGCTATTCTGGGATACAGGGGGACTAGCAGTCAAATAGCTCAAACTATAAGTGACATTTAACTCCAGGACAGAGGAACTGATGGGAGAGGAAGGAAGCACTGAGGTATAATAATACCCAACAACAGCTGAATCTAGCTCTGCTGCTGAAAAGAAATTGTATTGCTACAGGAATCTGCAGTGAATTTAAACTCAAAGGGAACCTAAAAAGGATATGCAAAAACTTCAGGCACCATTTAAACCAGATGAAAATTGCAGTAAATAGTACAGGACTTTCAGGGGCTTTTCCTCTCCAGTGGATCTGTGGTGATGGAGACGCCTTGTTGCTGCCTGAGAGATCTAGTGATGCCTATACCACTCCCCAACACCTCATTTCAGAGCACCTCTCCTTAAAACCCTGCATCAGTTCAGATGCTAAAAGACTGTATGAAGCTGCAGCTGGGAGTTGGGGCACTCCAGAAACCTCTTTAGAGTCAATCCCTGCAGTCCCTTTGTACTGCCAGTCTTTTTGGGCCCCTCATAAAGCTGCTCTTGCTAGAGAAAAGAGGGGAGAGGGGATGTGTCCCTGTGGTTGTGTCTGGCAAGTGGGGTCCTACAACAGGAAAGGAGACAGGACCACAGGAAGAAGCATAAGACTGTGGAAAGCTGAGCAAGCTGACCAATTAAGAGGTGCACCTTAACAGGGCTGCACGGCATAAAATCAACAATCAGTAATTGCTGATGTATTGCTTTCCCTGGAGTGCCTGGACAAGCCTGAAAAGGGCTGAAGCGCAGACATGCTGCCCCAGAGAGACAGAGATGACCCTTGTGCTGTAGGCAGAGTAGTGGCTCTGTGGGGAGAGGAAACCCAACAGCAGGCCAAGCTCAGCCGGATTTGGCCTTGCGTGACAAGGGGACCTAAGGCTAAAATCTGGCCCTTCAGCCCAAGCAGGTGGAGAAGCAAAAATGAGAGCCTCTCACAAGTCCTGACTCTGGGTTGTCTGCCCAGTTGCTGTTAAAAATGCACCTATTATAAGACAGCCTAAATGGATTTGAACAAGGCATTCTTTTCTGCAGGGAAGAAAAAAGCCTTTTAGAGACTGTTTACAAAGTTAGGCATTTCCCTTTTAGTCACACTGCTGGAACGAGGAACCTGCCACAGCTCTGCCTGGTGGCCAGCCTCATTCCCTGTGCCTGTGCTGACACGTGTGCCCATGTCCCCACAGTCGCCTCAGAACTCTTCCTTCTGGAGGTTGCTTTTAGTAACAAATGAAAACAAAACACAAAGGAAACAGTCTTCCTGTAGCCACGGTCTCCCCCCTGGCTGCCCAGATACTTTCAGATGATAATGTCATCCCCGTCTCCAAAATGCATTACAGTTCACTGCCTGGGGACTTGGCAGGGTCTGGTCCAGCCTCTCAGCACAGAAATCCGCATTTCCTAACAGCGTGACTCAGCCAAAGTGCTCTGTACCCATCCCTGGTTTTGCATCACACCACTGATTTGAAACTATGCTTGTGATATAGCCCAGGACAGCCTGGGTCAGGCTGCTGTTGGAAAGCTTCACCCGGGGCTCTCTATCAAACAAAAATGCTTGCTCTGCTTCAGACTCGCAGCATCTCCTGCTATTGCACTGGTGTATCTCCACTGCCTGTCAGGCAGCAGCAGCAGCAGCAACGGGGTTTTAAAAAAGAAATCCCACATCTGCAGGTTCCATTGTCCAGTTCCCTTCCTGCCTCCACGACTGCCGTAACCACTGCGTGAAACAAAAAAAATATAGCCATTTCCTTTTCTTTGTTCTCCAGCAGAAAAACAGGCTATTGAGCGCGCTTGCAGTTGGGGAGACGGGAAACTCTGAGGTAACCAAATTAAATTCCTTTCTCGGCATCGAGACAATAAAACCACAGTGGCCTCATCTGGACATCTCAGGAACTAAATTTCTGAACAAAAATAGTCCCCTATCAGTTGGTGTCCTGGGCGGCGTTTGTCCACTTTCCAGTTCCCTTTCCTCCAAGTTGCCTGCTGCCCTGCCCTGTGTTGTGAGGATGGATCGGTTCTTTTGGGCTGCTTTTGGGCCAGTGAAATGCTGACCTGTGTCGACACAGCCTGTCAGAAAGCACAAGTTAATTTCACGCGTGCAAGTTTGGCAGGGAAAAAAAAAAAACAACAAACAAACAAAACCCCCCAAACCCCAAGCAAATAGGTAAGATGTACATGATACTTTGTATTTGAAAATTGTTCCATGGATTAACCAAAAATGTTAGTGTGCAGGGGGAAAAAATGACCCAAAACTTGCTGAAGAACTCTGTCGTCTAAGTACTATAATAAGAGAAACTGCACTATTAGCAATGATAAAAAACCTGGTAAGCTGACAAAAATGACAAGCTATATTTTCTGATGTTCTTTGACAACGCAAATTATTAGATTTTATTTTGAAGGAATCAGGATTGTCAGCCCTGAAAAAAAACTATAAGATGGGTGCACAAAGACCTGGAATGTTAGTCTATTGTCTATGGGCTCTTTTATTTGCGTGTAGATTTGGAGTCTCTTGAATACACTTGGGAATATTTTTAAGCTTTTCTTTGCAGCCAGGTGGGGGGCTGGACAATTGCATTGTTTTTAAATGAAAGTTGAGATCATCACATAATTACTTTTCCAGAAGATTTGAGTTTTTAAGGAAATACCCAACAGCTCCTAATGAAACATAGCTGTCTTGACACACTGAGTTTAAATTCTGTTTTCCTGCAAAACCAAAGTCTGACATTATCTTTTAAACTGGTGAGCATACAAGATACTTATAGTTTTATCAGCATATACATATAGGTTTGTAATTGATTTTGAAGCAAATTTCATGCTCTCTATGAAGTCAAAATCCCATATACTTTCTCTGGCTCAGCTTTATTAAAAAATATATTACTATAACAAGGAATATTTTAAATCTCTAAGAATAGACTTTTATAAAATGCTGGGAAGTTCAACTCATGCTCTTTCAGAAGAAATTTTCCTTTTCATTCATTATCTGGGTGTCCTTAATAATGACCTGGCTAAAAAAAGATGCAGAAAGTACCTAAACCATCCTTAATAAATACCTGGTTGAAAAAGGATGCAGAAACTGCATAACCCGACTACCTAGCTACTTACCTGTGACAAGAAGGATGCTTTGACTGAAAAGGCTTAACTTGTTTCAAGTTCAGCAGAAAGCAACAGCCATGCTGGAGAAATATTCACTACAAACACAACTGAAGCTCCTGAACCATCTTCTCTTGTGCTGCTCCTTTCCTCTAAAGTAAATAAAGAGTTTTAAAAGTATGGGTGCCATGCAGACTCTCAAAGATAGCCTCTGGTCTTGGTGCTAAGGAAGCAAATTTTGTAGTTTTTTTACTACTCTGTAGGTTGTTGGCTTGTCGATCTTGCAGCTATTCTGAAATACTATGTCAAGTTTCAAAGGCAAATTGAGATTTATGAGATGTGACACAAGACGGGAACAATTCTTAAGGCAGTTTCAGATTTCCTGTTAATTTGTTTTTAATTATGGTGCTGTTAACAGCCTTTAATGACTGCGTGTCCCTGGAGGTTTCCTGGAATGCTTTAGTAAGGTCCCATGTGGAGCTGCTGGATTGCCTGACCCATGAAGAATTGGACCTGGAGGTGAATGACTGCCTGAGCAGGGGCTCATTTAACAAGAGCTTTGGCAATGCTTTTTTCTGAAGACCTCTTGATAGAAGATAAGCTTAAACTATCCATATTTATTTATGGAATAAAAAGAGAGAGATTGGGTTTTGTGAGTGTATGTAAACCAGAAATGACAGGCTCGATCCCTGCTGGTGTTCAGTGGCCAGAGTGACTCTCATGTTAGACATAATTGCAGGAAGTTTTATTTCTTTTCCACAAACTTGCAGAAGTATTTTGCAATTCCATAAAATGAATAAATGATTGGTCAGCTCCTACTTCTGTCACAATTTCCCTGTGTGTACGCAAGACAAATAGGTAGTCCATCTGGCTATATTAAACAGAGGCAGCCCATGACCCTGCACTGCAGTATCACCTGTGTCCTCTGGGGCAATGGTTCCTCCTGTGCCTACCACAGTTCTCCTAGGCACTGCCAAAACCCACTTGCTTTCCATGCTTTCCCTCTCCTCTGCAGGGAAAGGACAGTTTAGCACATGGACATGTCCCAGGGTTCACCACCATCCTCATGAACACACTGAGGGCCCTGTCCTACTTTATTTAGTCATCTGTGCACAGCCTTCTCCTCCTCTAAACAGTCAGCGTGGTGACTGATTTGACACCATTTATAAATGTATTTGAGGTCATTACATGAAGGATACCATTGCAGTATAGAAAGCATTTGCTGTTCTATTATTCATCACTACATTTATGAGCAGTCACATCTACATTCATAAACACCCATAAAATGGCTTGTACCTGCCTGATAGCAATATGGATGTTTGCTAAATGCTACTTGTGGTCTGTGGCTTTCTGAATCAAATTGAAAAAAAAGTTGGAACAGATTCTCCAAACTGTATGAAGTAGGTTTTAGTACAACTGCTGCCACACCACATCTGCTACAGGTA